TTCTGGTGGCGCAGTGGTTGAGAGTCCGCCTGCTGATGCAGGGGACACGGGTTCGTGCCCCGGTCCGGGAAGATCCCACATGCCGCGGAGCGGCTGGGCCTGTGAGCCATGGTCGCTGGGCCTGCGCGTCCGGAGCCTGTGCTCCGCAATGGGAGAGGCCACAACAGTGAGAGGCCCACGTACCGCAAAAAAAAAAACAAACCACACACTGAATTTTGAAGACAGTATTAAAAAGAAAGAAAACAGTTATTAATACTTTAAAAACTTGATTACATGATAAAATAATACTTTCTATATATTGAGTTAAATAAAATGTATTATTAAAATGTACTTCACCTGTTTCTACTTTTTAAAAGGTGGTTACTAGGAAATTTTAAATTACATGTGTGACATATTTCTGTTGGACAGCACTGATACAGAAAAATAATAAAAATGACTGCTCTTATTACCAGCAATTGTAATAGCTACCATTTATTTACTGTCTAGAACTTTAAATTTGTCATCCCATTGACTTTTCAGAAAGGCCTTAGTGTATACGTATAATTATGTCCATTTTAGGTATGAAGAAATAGTTGCTAGGAGAGGTTAATAAAATTTGCCTAATGTCACAGGGCTGGTTGGTGACCAATCCTGGACTCTAAACTAGTCAGACTCTAAAGCCCTGAATCCACACACATGCCCCTCTCCTACACCATCGTGTGTAGCTCCCAAATAGACTTGGGATGTTCAAGTCTGATTAAATAAATTTCCAACTCCAATCACAGTATTTGGCATAGTGCCTGGGAAGTAACACACACTTAATAAACGACAAATGAACTAAGAAATTAATCATCAAGGTTTGCAGTAAGGATGAAAAGAAATGCCATGAGAATTGTGAAAGCATTCCATAAACTTTGAAGCTTTATACAATTACCGGTTATCATAATTATCTACCTATGATAACCAGTCAAGGTGCTGAAGGTCGGGTTCATAGGCCCAGGGCAACAGAAGCTTGTCAATCTCTTGACATGGTCCTAGGAAAACATCTTTTCTGGATCGCTAGCTCCCTCTTGTGTCTCCACGTTGTAACAGCACAGTAGGACCAGCATTTATAGGAAATTATCAAAATAATTTATAATTGTCACTTTTACTCTTTCATTCCTTTTTCAAGAACTGTGTGAAAAAATATGAGAGCCGTTATCAGCCCTAAGGCTATAAGTCTGTCATTCTAGGAGTTTGAAAATCTACTTTTCTAAGTAACTGGTTTTACATGGTCTGTAATTTCAAGGGTCTAAGCAGAGAGCCCTGCCGAGCGACGTGGGGGTTGGTGACTCAGGCGCAGGCCACTGAGACACACCAGTTTTGGGGGCTGGGTCTCCCCATTTCCCATTCCACGTCCTGAAATCCCATCTGCCTCACGAAGCCCGTAGCATCTCCCTGACAAATGGGACAGGCTTCCTTCGCCTCCTTGGTCACTGGGAGCAGTACCAACACTCTGTGAAGGACCACTTTCTCCTGAAATGGAAGGGCACATGCTCTCTAGGCCATCTGACCTTCATCTGGAGTAACTGATCAAGCTAACCCAGCGCAGATCGGGTCAAGTGACCTCCTGGGCCGAGCGCTTTTTGATGCAAGTAAGTAAATGGACGGAGACTTCACAGGGTGATAAGTAATGGACCCGACCACCAGGTCACACACTCACCGCGGCAGTTTTTCGCAGTCACGGCGTCCCCATAGAACCCGTAGGCACACCTCTCACAGCGGGGGCCATCGGTGTTCCCAAGGCATCTCAGGCATTCTCCGGTGACGGAATCACAGCTCCTGGCCTCCAAGGGGTCCACATTGCCACTGCAGTTACAAGGGACACAGGAATCTCCGGGCACTGTTGGGTTTCCAAAGTAACCGTCTGCACATCTATATAGAAGATTGAGAAAGGGATGCAAACAAATGCGATTACTGTAGACATTATCCCACCATCCAGGGACTCTCTGAGTAGTTAATCAACCACACCGACTCTTTACCGAAGATTTACCGTGAGAGGAATGCTGCTCGAGTTCAGGCATTCACAGATTCCAGTCACTCATTGTGAGGCACGGGGAGGGCATCCAAAAGGAGCCACATATCCCGGGGACATGCTCCGGCCCCAGACAATTCGACCCGCATCCCACCACTGAGCGATGTTACCTCCCACGGAGTCCAGCCAGACTTGGCACCGAGACGTACACGCAGGACAGACAACCCTGGCTTCCAGGCGCCAGAAGACAACTATTACATCAAACCACCCCTTGCTTATGGAATCATCCAGACTGGGACATTCAAACGTATGAATAGAAGTACTGACTCCCGGCAGTTTCCTATTGATACTGATGAAAACTGAGATTAGCTCAAGGAGATCAAAAAATCCCCAGGGACTTCCAACATTAATTTTTTAATCGATCGACTGATTTTTCTCTGTGATCCGATGGAATAATAATGACATACCAAAGGCTCTAAGGCCACACTTAACCACACGTTTAAGAATAAACACATAGAATTTATAGTAAAAAAATGTTTGGAAACCGGTCAAGAGAAGCAGAGTACCTCTCGCACCAATCCCCCGCGTATCCCGGGGCGCACTGGTCACAGAACACTTCATCTCCATCGTTGAGGTGGCAGGTGGGGCTGAAACTGACAAAGCAGTAGAAATGAATGCAGTTCTCCAGTGGATGGTGCAGAATTCTGAAATATTAAAATGCTTAGTTTCTACCACTCCTGTCCTTACAAACTTTCACCGCATGCTCACTCCTTAACCCAGAACCCAAGGCCCCAGGCCACGCAGCCCGCCCGTGGGCACTGGACACTCCCTGCTCGACCCTCGGCCTGGACTGCGCTTCTCCCTGTCTGCCCGGGTTCACCGGCTCACCCCCAAGACCCAGCTCAGTGGTCCCCTCCTCCAAGAGGCCGGCTCCGATGCTCAGGCAGAGTTCCTCTCCTCGAGTTCCCGGGACTGGGCTGTCTGCCTTAGAGCTGCCCACACTGGCCAAGAGTGAGCCCGCTTACAGGACAGAGCCAAGGGGCTCCGCACTTCAGTGAGTGTAACCAGCATCCCCCGAGGCCCCCACGCAGCCCGAGGTCCCTTCACACTCCATTCCTGAGTCTTGGGAGGACCGCGAAGGGAGGCCTGGGGGCCATAGCGAGGTCCCCACGATTTCACCAGAGCAGCCGTGATTGCTGTTTTGTACACTGGAGTTCCAAATAAAAATCCCCGTGGGAGAATCCTCTAGGCGTGGATGGGGAGAGAGTTCTAAAGGGTAAACAGTGAGAGAGGCTTTCAGGCCGCTGGCCTGGGGGCACACAAGCCCCAGCATGTTGGTCGAGGCCTTGACTGTAACCGTCCTCTGCCTTCCCTCGTGCTCTGGGCCCCGGGACCACCTGCAGCTCCGCAAACCGACCTGCCCCTCACACTGCCGGACCGCGGCACCACTCCTTCCCACCTAGCAGGCCCTTCTCCTCCACTGCCTTCAAACTCCCTCTCATCCTTCAAGTCTCAGATGGAGAGCTTCCACAGGGAATCGCCCCACACAGACTCCCTCTGCACAGTGGGCCCACTTCCTCTGCCCTCGTGACCACAGTGTGGATTCCATGGCGTCGGCAGCCACGGAGGAAGAGTTTGATACTCAGGACACCTACCACGATGCCCAGCATATACCAGGCGCTCAGTAAAGATTCGTTGAATTAAACTAAATGAATTCAGCCCATTCTCAATGAGCCTCCTATTTACATATTTTGGTCCTTAGCTCAAATACTCCTGAAGCCCAGGAACCTGTTTTATTCATCTCTGCATCTCCTCTGCCTCTTAGCCCAGTGGTAGGCACACAACATATACGTGTGAAGGAACTGATGCCCAACGTTAGACCAAGGGGAAAAAAGGCCATGCAAATGTCCTTGCCTTCACACAACTTGCCTTCCATAATTTAATACATCAAAGTTTTTTGTTTGTTTTTTTTTAAAAAGAGAGAATCTGTTCCTCTATCTCTAATCCCAATTAATTGCCCCAGGGCAAAATTAACACTCTCATCACACACAGGTCTTGCTCTGAAGATTTCAGTGCGCGTCTGGATGGAGACCCAGGCCACGCGGGGCAGGACCCGCTGGTGCAGGAGCCCGGCTTACTTGTTGGAGGCCGTGGAGAGCGGGCAGGCACACGGCTGGCAGTCCCCAGGGGTCCCTCGGGAAGGCAGCCCGTAGAAGCCGGGCAGGCAGCGCTCGCAGCGGTCCCCGGTGGTGTTGTGCTGGCATGCCTAGGACACGCGCATGGAAGAAGACTCGGCTCAGGTCTCCTTAAAGGAGCCTCAGGTTCACCTTCAAACAACTTGAAGCCCAAGTGAAGAAAAAAGGCAAAACGCTAAAGCAAGTCACCAAACTCTCTTATATGAGGAGGGTTGCCTGTTTCCAGATCTGCTGATAAAAATTTTTAATTTATGTAAACGGGAAGCATAAGACCTTTCATTTCCAACCGTGTCAGAGTAACTGGCAGCAGACTTGCCCTCTGTAGGGACGGAATACAATACATCAAAGAGCTGCTCTCAGACCCCGGACAGCGGAGGTGCAGGATGTGCAGGGAAGGGAGACAGCGGGATGGGTCCTGCAACTGCATGTCTTTCCCCTTGGAGACAGCCCAGGAAATCCTGAATTTATACTACGGCATGGAGAACATCGGAAACGGTAAATACATGAATAAGTACGAAAGATTTCTTTTCCTCATTTAAAACGCCTCTTTAGACAGTGAAATTACCCTGCGTCAGGTGTAGGAGGTGTGCGGGAGACTGGCCCCTGGGCAGCTCCTCTCCTGCCCGTTCCTTCCAGGCTCCACTTCTCACATGGCTTGGTCTCCCTATTGCCCCCACCTGGTGCTGATGCCACCCAGAGCTCTCCTACAACCTCTGCCCTCCCCTGCCCGTACTCCCAGCCCCAGCCCCGCCTGTGGGCCCTCTCCTCTCACTTCCTCTCCCTTGGGGTCTTCCATGTCCTTTTATACCCCTTCTCTTAAAGCCACTCATTTTACACACATTTACTGGACATTTTTCATCTGAATATTCAAATAATATTTCCAGTTGTTAACTACATACTTTTCTATCATTCCTGAGATTGATAAAAGTTTTCCCATCTGTTCAATTTAATTGTGTTGCATCCTCTATATCACGGTTTCACCAGTTTTATTTAGGGTTATCCCAGAACAGAGCTTCCAAATTTGAATGTGTATACAGATCATGTGGGTTAAATGTTGACTCTGATGCTGGAGGTCTGCAGTTTTGAGTTTCTAAAAAAGCTTCCAGATGACGCCCATGCACTTTTCATCCCTCATATGACCTTGGTTTTGATCATTAACCCAAATCTACGCAAAATGCAACTGGCCTTGGTAAAGAGCTACATGGTTGTGCTAAAAGAATTATGCAAAATAATTAGTTTCGTTAAAATCTATTCGATTACGCTCAACTGCAAATGTCTCTGATTTGCTTTCTTTCCTCAAAGGGCCAGACTGGGTCTTCTTTCTCTTTGGGAAAACTACAATGTAGTTCTGTTGAAAAACCTGCTGAAGGTCTGTTTCAATGCTTTCTCAGGCGGGCGCCAACACCCCTTTAAGTGATGGTCCCTGTTGGTGGATCTGGAACGTGAAGGGATAGGAATGCTCATTTCCTTGGGGAGCGAGCACATCTTCTCTTGATTGGAAAAGGAAAACCAGGAGGGCCCAAGACATGCACAACTGCATTTTATGCCCCTGTCTTTCCAAAGAAAAGAAATTGATTTCTCCTTGGAGTAAGAGCAGAGAGAGCTCAGAGAAAAGAATAAGGACACAGGTAAACTATGGACTTTGGGTGGCTGTGATGTGTCAGCGTGGGGTCACTAATTGTAACAAATGCACGACTCTGGGGGGGATGTTGATAATGGGAGCGTATGAGCATGGGTGCCCGCAGAGGGTAGATTGGAAATCTCTATACCTTCTTCTCAACTTCACTGTAAACCTAAAACTACTCTAAAAATAGTCTTTAAAAAAAAAACAAGAATAGGAGCACTAAGAACAACTGGAAACTTCTCTCTAATAAAATGTATATAAGGAGTCGACCCCTAGAATCTAGATAACTATATACAAGGCCAGGGGCTAGTTACAGCTATGCAAAAGGAAGAATTAAAGGTTTCTTTTTAAAATAGAATTTAAAAAGCAAAGTAGATTAAACAGACAAGTGATCTTACCAAGTTTTTATATTTCCCTGTATTCCAATCTAAATTTTTATTACTTTTCTCCTTTAATTACTTAAAAAAGGAAAAATAATAATTTTACAGCAGAAAAACCTGACAGAGACCCCCTTATCCGAGTGACCCAGGCTAATTAACATCCCCCCAGAAGAAGCCAGTGGCATCACAGACCCTGACAGCACACACTGGGAGGGAACATCACCTCAAGGTCCTCTCACCAAAAATGGATAACCTCAACCTCATCACGAGAAAGTGGACCAGCTCCAGCGGAGGGACAGTCCACAGAAGGTCCAAAGATCTCAAACGTGCCCTAGTCCTGAAAACCAGGAACTGTCACAGCCTGAAGGAGGCAAAGCCACTAAATGCAGTATGGGGCAGTAGGTATGATGCTGGAAAGGAAAAGGATGAAACCCGAATGGAATGTGACATTTAGTTGATGGGGCTGTGCCATGTTAATTTCTGAGTTTTGATAACCATACAGATTGTGTAAGATGAGCATCCGGGGAAACAGGGCGATGCTCACACGGGAACCCTCTATCCTATTTTGGTAACCTTTCTGTAAATCTGAAATTATTCCTTAAAAAATTTTAAACTATAAAAATTATTATTGTTTTCTATACTTAGAGCTTTAAGGCTATTTAGCATCTTCACTTTCATAAGAGAATGTATTTTTGGAAATATATATTAACAGAAACATGTGCAAATCTTCCAGCCTGCCCGTCACTAAAGCCATAGGTGGTACAACCACGACCTGCTGACCACCCCCAAGTGCTGGCAGAGGCCTCCAAACCCAAATGGCAGGGGGAGAGAGGTTTTAAAAAAGCAGTGACCAGGACTTCCCTGGTGGTGCAGTGGTTAAGAATCTGCCTGCCAATGCAGGGTACACGGGTTCGATCCCTGGTCCGGGAAGATCCTACGTGCCGCAGAGCAACTAAGTCCGTGCGCCACAACTACTGAGCCCACATGTCACAACTACTGAAGCCCAAGCACGTAGAGTCCATGCTCTGCAATAAGAGAAGCCACCACAATGAGAGGCCCATGCACCGCAACTAAGAGTAGCCACCGCTCGCCGCAACTAGAGAAAGCCCGCACACAGCAACGAAGACCCAACGCAGCCAAATAAATAAATTAAAAAAAAAAAAAAAAAAAGCAGCGACCTCCCTTCCTTGTGGGAAGTTGCACCTGAGGAACTTATTCTGGAGGGACTGCATATGCGTGCAAACATCATTCCACACCATCCTACAGGCGCTTCACTTACAGAACAAAGAAACTGACAAAGAACAAAACAAAACAAAAGCTGTACTTGCAGAGAAAAAGAAAAATTAGGCTCTAGAGAGAAAAAGCAATCAGCGGCATCATGCCGATATCTTCCCCATGGGTCTGATCGTTAATTTTTCCTAACCCTGTGACTCAATCAAGCTCTTTTGGAAAAAGCATGATCCTTTCCCTGTGCAGTGAATAGGGTTCAGCTGATTACCATATGCATTCACTCCATCTCTGAGCAGTGAATCCATTAGAACCCAGGAGTGTGGCCTGGCTCCCAGGCATAAGAGCCTAAAAGAATTCCTGACTGAAGTTAAAAAACAAGTCTTGCCCTGTATCTGCCCCAAAGTTCATTCTCAAGATTAACTACATATTTGCTAAGCCCTATTTCAACTCCAACTGCATGAAAGAGGTACTTGTTTGCAGAGTTTATCTGAACTAACATCTATGAAGCATTATATATTATACAGATGAGATTATTAGAAATTTTTATTATTCCTCTTACGATATACTATGTAATATAATGTTAAAATCTACTAGCACTTGCGTTTAAAAGATCTGATCCTTTTTATTTAATCAGTGGTCGTTTTCTCCCTTTATATTGCTTTTTAATCTTGCAAAGTAAATCATTACTTATTGTTCTAATAAAAAACCTGCAGTGAAATCATACATCTTTTTTCTGCTATCACCAAAGCAACTTTTCTTCACAAAAAAAAAGAAGGAAAAAAGCAGGAAACATTTTATGGCTTAAACTTAAACCTGCAGATTTCCTCTGGGGTCCACAAGGGCAGGGATATTCCCTGTGGAGGAAGCTTCTTTTTTAATCACTTCTGTACAGTGAGGGCTTCTGGGTGGGAGGAGGGCATGCACTCAAGGTCTCAGCCAGACTCACAAAGCAAACGCCATGAACGTCACACTCTGCTGCATGGCCGTGGCATTCACAGGGCTGACAGATTCCTCCAAAGAGTATTCCATCCACGCGGTAATAGCCAGGGAGACAGGACTGCAAAAGAAGGACGGGTGACTGTCCAGGTGAAGGCAAATTTACACAAAACGCAAATCATCTTCTTCCCAGTACGTAAGAATCATAAACCACTCAATTTTCCATGAATGAAAACTTATTTTTTTTGCCCAAACGTGCCATAAAATGCACCCATATTAAGCATACGATTCAATGGGTTTTTTTTTTAGTAAGTTTACTGAGTTGTGCAACCATCACCATAATCCAGTTCCTTATATATTTTAAAGGTAGAAATATGCACACAAAAATGTAATGGCTATGCAATGAGTCAGCGTACATCATAGCCGTTTTCCACTGCAATATTCTTAGAAATCATGTAACAGCCTTTTAATCAAGGCTGTTTCAATCAAGGGGATTTATTTCTCTCAACACTTTTTCTTTTGCTTAAAATTTAGTAAATGTTGCTGTCAAATTGTTAAATGCAGGTCTGCGTCAAACGGCATCAGTTTAAGAGAGCAAACGTTGCAGGTGAGCTTCCCTCTGGCTATGCGCTGGACAGGCAACATGGGCGTTCAGGGGCAGGGAGCCACCCCGGACACTGTACTTCATGTCGCCCTTGTGACGACCCTGAGAAATCGGCTCTCTGATAGACTCGGAATCCGGAACATGGCGCGTTAGCTACGGTCCATGGCACCCGTGCAGTGATTCCACACCAGGTGTGCACACCTCCAAGACCCATGTCCACAGGCTACCCGGGGCCACAGCAGACAAGAAACACATCCAGAGTGCAGACCAGGGAGTAATTAATTTGGAGGTTGGCACACTCCCTTGGGGGCATGGGAGGAGGGGGTGTGGATTTGCCTTTTATTGTCCTAAGAATTCTTAAAGAGCATTTCATTATAGTAATAATATATACTGCCTTCATTCACACTGACCTTGGGAAAGTCCCCTGCCACCTCCCCCACGACCCCGCTCCGCAGCCAGGCTCCCCCGGGGACAGTGGACTTGTCTACAGACAGGCACTGAGCAGGCAGCTGCCTGGGGGTCTGTGTTGCGGCTATAGGGCTCCCCCAAATTCCATTCCCAACCAGTAGCTGCCTGATTCTTTAAGTCAGCTTCTGAGTAACAGCTGGATAAAAGAATGAGTTCTTCTGCTGAACACAAACTCTTGCAAACGAGTCTTGAGCTGCCTATGTGATGCTTGAGCCATCAACTCAAGCACACCAGCACTTCTGGGAACAAAGCCCCGCCCACCTGTTCTCTAGCAGCAGCTGCTCCCTGCTGTCCCCTCCCAGTCCAGCTGGCTGGGCTCCCACTTCCACAGTTGTCCCTGCTCTACCTGTCGCTCCCCTAAGCCCACATCCACATACTATGAGGTGGTCTGAGGGTCATTTATCCATTAAGCACTAGGCCCGCAGGGATTAGGACTTATGGACATTTGCTGGTCCTAAAAATAAATGAGATGTAAAAATAAGTTCATTGGTCCCGACCCTGTGGCCAAAAAAATCTTGCAAAATATTTAAAATAGAAATAAAAATATTTAATTAAATATGTACACCACAAAGCTTTAGGCCAACTTTATTACCTACAAAGCTAATATTATAGGTTAAATGTTCTCACTTTGTAAAAATGCTTGCCAAGAAATCACAGCCAATGACAAATGTTCACAATCACAGTCATGGGCTCATGAGAGGCAGGACCTCATGGCAATTAGCAGGGATGAAGTTCAAAGACCACTTCCTAGCTGTGTGACCTTGGTCAAGTTACTTAACCTCTCTGTGTCTCCGTTTCCTAATCTACGGAACAGAAAGTATATGAAGGGCCTACCTCACAGGATTGTTGTAAGGATTAAATGAGGTAACATATGGAAGGGGCTCAGAATAGTGCCAAATGTGTAGAAAGTTCTCAGTAAGAGAGAGTTACTATCAATATGTATGTCCAAATAATTTCAAAAAATATTTCAAAATTTTTAAGCGACAGATTACTTTCATCCATGACTACAAGTATGGTTTCATATACTGCATATGTGAGGTAGAGCCCACCTAAGTAACATAGCCTGGGGCCATCAAAGGTCTCCAAAAAGGCCTGGCTTGTCTGAAGCTTTCCAGGGTCGCATGTTGGTAATTGGTAAATGTTCAAATACAATCAAATTCAATCCTCCTTAGAAATGCAAAATATGGCATGGGTGTCTCAACTTTCCTGTTGACTAAGCAGGACAGTGACACTTACTTAAGAGTATTCCCAGATGCCCCAGAGGAATTAGATTTCCTTAAACAATGTGTTTCCAATGTTCCAATAGCCTCCAAAAGTCTGATGTTTAGAAACACTGGGTTTCCAAAGTTAAAATTCAAATACGCATTACGACATCACCTTCAATATGCTTTTCCCCCAACCCTGTAGGAAGGAGAAAAGGAAGAAGACGGGAAGGGGGAGGAGTGTTACCTCACAAGAGATGCCCGCATAGCCTTGGGGACACTCGCAATGCTCCACCTCCGTGGCCAGGGACAGGTCTATAACGTTAGGGCTGGCTGTGTCCAGAGAGACAGAATCCAACCTGCAAACAGACAAACAGGCAGGGCCGTTACAGGACTTACACACTCGCACACGGCATCTAACACCTCAAAGAAGACGAATTCCTAAGAAAGATTTAATTCAAACAAAATGGTGATGTGATTTTTGTAAGTAAGTAAAGATTTTCACAATAGGACACTTTCTGGGAGCTGTTCATTAGTCCCTGGAAATGCCTTGGACATTTGGTACAAGACGAGCTGCTGTCCACACACAACCGTGGGAAGGCTCTGAGAAGCCCATTCCGAAGAGTGAACTCCAGAACGAACCCATGCAGTTGAACTCTCTCTAGTGCAGAAAGATTGTCCTGAATGTGCAGTTCTCTGTTTGCTTTAGCTGCATCCAACATGTATGCATAGCCTGGCATTGCCAGAAACTGACCTTCTCAGAGTAACAAAACAACTAAGGATGGACCCATGAGCTTAAATAGTTTGTGAAAACCTAAGACCATTAACATCAGGAGGGTGAAAACCAGATGCAACACAGTTAACAACTGTCACCTCATTGGGCATTTCTCAAAAATCCACCCTGAAAGTTTCTGTTCCCAATGCCAAGTCTATCTCCTACTAGATACATTTGCCATGGACAACAATTGTTATGCCTTTGATAAAATTATAGTGATAAAAAATAATTCCAAGACAGTTCCGTTAGCTGTGTCCTTGAAATAATAAAGTAAAGTATATTCAGCTTAAAATTGTATGATAATAAAGACAAGATCACCTACGTTTTCTCTCCTTTTCAGTACACACCTGTAAAGAGCCATCTTTGCAGAATTGTAGTTGGCTCTGATCAAGAGATGTGTCACGTTGGCAAGCACGGTCATCAGCTGGTCGCGATCTACCTCCCTCCTGCTATGAAAATCTCTGAAGTGCTCAGGCACGAGTCTAACCACGTTCAAGTGCTCTTCATAGGGCTGCAATAACAGGCCCTCTGCCTGGGTCCTTAAAGTGAGCCCATTCCCCTAACATTTAAAAACAAGAGGAAATATATTCATAATTCAATTTCATGATCAAACACTAAAAGCAGACTTTGTATTCAGCCACGTGGCTTTCCATTTGTGTGCAGGTTTTCGGCAAACATGTAATGATGTCCATAGCCCTTGGTCCAGAACGACCAGAGAAAACATATCACTATCCTCCTCTCAGAGGGGTTCGGATAAGTCTAAAGACTGTGCCTGTGCTGGGATCTCAGAAAAGAGACAAAGTCATGCACTAGCCCACAGTTTCCCTCAAAGCAACCAATCTGACACCTCTTATCTTTTTTTTAACTGAAGCATAGTTGATTTACAGTGTTTCAGGGGTACAGCAAAGGCCAAGGCCTTGCTGGGTCTTTTTGTGATGGGAGTGAGGATACAGGAACAGGGACAGAGGTGGAGGACAAAAATGACAATGCACCTCCGGTCCCCACACAGCCAGGCACTGCTGCCTAGTCATTCACGTGGGGAGGATGCTACAGGAGGGGAGGAGGGACCCGAAGGGCCTAAAAGGAAGTCCCAACATCGAGGAAAAACTCCTCTCCCTCTAAATTGTGAATAGACAGGTCAGCTACAGGAGCAAGCGAAGAGCTACAGGTGCTGCCCTGAGGCAATTCTGGAAATTCCCAGTCTCAGCGGAGTCCAGACGGGCAAAGCGGCCACCTGGCCCTGAGCTCCTGCCACTACAGCCTCGCTTAGCCACCTTCAGTCATAAAACTGCTGCCCCACGCAGCCCTCGGCTCTAGCAAACTGATGCGAAAGCAATTACCTTAATGATGACGTCGGCGTGAGACATGGGGTCACCGTCCGCCGTCTCCACTGGGACCTCGTAAGACACCGTGTACTTCAGGAATCCACCAAAGGCCGTCAGCTGGAATGTTTAAGTGACAATGAGCACGGAGGGGAAGGATCATAGCCCTTGGTAAGGGGACACGGTCACTAGGATCCACCTGGCAACAACTAGGCTGCGAGGTGTCCCAGAGGCCACAATATGTAAGGATTTCACATTAAGGGCAGTGGAAAGGAAGCACGTTATACGAATGTTCTGTTTAACTGATACCACGAAATGTAGGATACTGTCTAAATGCACAGAAAAAAATGTACTCCTTCTTAGAGACCCCGAGGTAAATTACTCTGAACTTGTGCTAGTCCCACGATAGACCTTTATTTCACTTAAGGACTTTAGGGGGCAGGGAGTGTGATCCAGGACTACAATCTCAACACTGGGGCTCACCGCCCTGCTTATAGGAGGGCAACAGCAACACGTGTGATCAGCTAAAGGAAGGACTAAGGATTTCCTTCCTGATCAGACATCCTTTAATGTAAAAGAGAGATTTTCTTTCTGCCAGCTATGGTACAACGTTCAGAATCCAATCTTTGCACCATAAAATTGGAGAGGTGCTCCCTAGACATGAAAACAAAACTATTGAATTTTGGTGATAAGATCCCATTCTAAATAGAAAATGTCTTCTAAGATTATAATTTGATAGGAAAAGTAATCATTTTCAAAAATAAACACTACTTAAACATACACAAAACAGCTATAAAATTAAAATATAACCATCAAATTAACTGGAAATGTACCACGGTACGAGACCTACACTACATATACCATGACTTCAAACAAACCAAAGGCCTGGATAAGGTGAGCAGGGAGCTGCAGGTATTGAGAGAGATTCCACTGGATATATTTTCAGATCGATCAGAGTCTGGAGGGAAGCTGCCTAATTGGTGAGGAGGGACAGGACCATGTCATTGAAGGAAGAGGTTAAATCGTAGCCACCAACTTCCCACTTTGTGGAATCACCTTTGAGTATTTTCTTACAGTGGAAAGCATTCTACCTGTTCTTAAACATGAACTTCACGTGAGCAACAAGCATAATAAAGAAGCAGGGGGCAGTGCAAGGGTTCCTGCACACCTTTCCCAGGGGTGTTCTATACGCCAGGTAAGACAGGTACACGGCTGGCTCCACAGGGCAGGGATGCGAGGAACCTTCACAAAGGCCCGGGTGACCCAGGAACCCAGAGCAAAACAGAAGGTCTGTCGGGGAGGGGACAAGATTTCATACAACAGACCACCTTCGACGGGGCCAAGAAAGACACAGGTTCATATTTTAAAGATGCAGTAAAGTCTAACAAAGATAAAAAGACCATGTGAATCAGGTGTCAGTAAACGCTGTGTGATATTCTGCTAAACTCAAGAGAGACAAACGACAGTACTTGAAAAGCCAACACAAGGTCTTCCTTAATGTGCTCTGAGATCTCTGCCCCAGACACCGGCCCTGGAAGTACCTTGTTTCCCAGGTAGGCCTCCGGGGCCGACCAGTAATACTGGGAGGTCAGCCTCTGCACCACCGCCGAGCTGTTGATGCTGATCTGGTGACGCCCGCCCAGCGTGTCCTGCTGGGACCGGAGCTGGCTGGAACTGACCAAGTCGGTGACCAGCCAACCGGACATATCTTTCACCTTAAAAAAGATCCAAGAATTTTAGAACATGAAATTGAAGTCACCTTATGTTTCACCCAGCCCAGTGTTAGTATCTTCACCGTGAAGGTACAGACCCAGAAAGCTCGGTGAGGACAGAGCTAACACACGGTGGCCCTTGCACTCGTCAAAGGACCCGGAAAACCTGAGAACGAGTCACACGTCCCCCAAACCCAGGTCAATTAGAAGCAAATAATGAGCAAAACCATAAAGACCACGGGTATATAACTTAGATTAAAAAACAGCGAAGAACTCAATAAATGCATTGAACACAGTGTCTCTGGCTAACTCTGACTTCGTTGTTGCCCCCTGCTTCTTAGCCAAATGCCAAAAACCGTATAAAACAACTCCAAATCCTATCCTCCCAATTTGTCATCTACATAGAGATGACAGATCACCCACAGGAACGCACCCCATTCTCAAGTACTGATCCGAATCCCTCCTCCCCAGACGCTGGTGAGGAGGGAGGAGGGAGGGGAGGAAGGAGGGTCAGGGACTAGCCCTAACCTCCAGCCATCACCCTGTCCTCCCTAGAACCCACTCAGCACTCACCCAGAACTCGTTCCCCCAGAATTCTCGATTCCCCAAACAAAGGGAGTACCCTGCCTCTCCTCATAAACTGTGCCACCTGCTGCATTCCCACCTCGCCTGCTTCTTTGAGCTAGAAAATTCTGCACGTCCCCAGGTCCTGCTATGCTCCCCGGCCTGAGACCGGGGTGGGGCTGGTGGGGTAGGATCTGACCCCACAACTCCATGCATTTCCCCACAGAAGAAATTTACACACGATGCATTCTGCAATGCCTCAGCATCCTATTGCTTCCATAGGAAAATGTATGCGGGAACAAACACATGATCTAGGAATTTTAGTGACACTTTGGTAAGTGGGCAGCCTTTGATCCACGCCGACGTCGGTCCAAAGGATGAGAGTGGTGTTACAGAAAAGACAGCCTCATCGCTTTCTGACACAGTTCCTGGTTCTCAAAGGATTCCCCCACCTGACTGATTGGCCAGGAGAGGCTGTCGCAAACGTCAGAGACACCAAAGCAGAAGCATTCTGAGCAGCCCTGGGGGTTCCTTTCCTCCAAGTTATAGAATCCTGGTTTGCATCGATCACAATGTTTCCCCTCAACATTCTCCTGCAAATTGGAGTAAAAAATTAGCTTTTGAAACCAAAAGGTAGGCAGACTAAAATGACATTAACATGACTTAGCAAGAAAGACGTCTGGCGATCCAGAGACACAGGTAAACAAAAAGACACTCAAAGTCAATGCAAAGCCTCATGATGTCACGATTTCCAGATAGTCTGAAATACTTATCATTTGATTTTGTAGTCAAGACTGAGGCTAGGGATCTTAGAGCTTGGTCCTTATATTTAAATGGCTTTTTCGTGTTGCTTTGTTTTAAATCTTCTATGTTTGCTGATCTTTCAAGCATTTTAAAATCTAAAGAGGACTATGTAATTGTCTTGTTAATAAATGCTCAAGATAATTTTCCACCATATGTAACGTACCTAAGACTCTGCTTACATGGGAAGGAACACAAGACACAGCCAGAAGTCCGCTGAATTACGGGGAGATGGTTATTAGTGTCAGATAGCCAGAAAACGCCTCCCTGGCACCAGATTCATGCATTTATCATTGTTCAATTCCTTTTTAAGAGAAGTCCAAAAGAATCTATCTGCCTTTAATTGATGTCCTTAGAAATGTAGTGTTTACTTGGTTCTCCTCTAAACATAAAGCTTAAAAAGGATGTCACAGAAGAGGCATTAGGCCAAGGCCTAAGAAAAGCAGTATTTGGTTTCAACCAGGAAGTCACAGAAATACTTCTGGAGTATCTGGCCATCACCCAGAAGGCACCAAAAAAGAAAATCAGGTGCCCATCTAAGTCCAAGGATATATTCTGTGGCCAGTTCACTGTGACATAATGTCATGCTTCTCAGGAAGGCTCAGGGGAAGGGATAGTTCCACTTTCACCTCGATGCTTTGCTTAGGACCTGATCATCTGAGCCAATGAAATGCATCCCATTTTCAGGAAATCTCAAAGGAAACTCTGGGGCAGCTCTAACCTCCACACATACCTTACAGAGACAAGCCTCGGAGCAGGGTTCCTCATTCACGCTGCCGGCTGGGTTACAGTCACAGGGCACACACGCAGGGTAACCCTTATAACCAAACTGGCAGCGATCACATTTTTCTCCCGCGTAACCTTCCTTGCATGGACACTGACCCGGCCACTTCCCTGCAAAGAAAAATGGCAAAATGACCCAACAGGAAGGTAAAAGAGGTTTAAAGCAGGGGTTGGCCAACTATTTCTGTAAAGGGCCAGCGAGTAAATATTTTAGGCTTTCTGGCCACAGTCTCTGTTGCAACTATTCAACTTTGCCCGTATTGCTTGAAAGCAGCCACAGATAATACATAAATAGATGGGTATAGCTTTATTTATAAAAAAACAGTGGTGCCAGATATGGGCCATAGACCACAGTTTGACAACTCCTGGTTTAAAGAAAGAACAAGACAGATGGAAAGCACAGAGGCTGGTGGGAATGTAAAATGGTGCAGAAGCTTTGCAAAACCATTTAGTACTTCTTCAAAGTGCTAAGCATAGTGTGACCATAAGATCCAGCAATACCATACCTAAGTATTTAGCCAAGAAAAACGGAAACATACATCCTCCCAAAAACTTGTATATAAATGTTTGTAGCAGCATTATTCACAATAGACAAAAAATCAACACAACCCAAATATTCATCAAACGCTGAGTGGATCAGTTAAACATGCATACAATGGAGTATTATTCAGCAATCAAAAGGACTGAAGTACTGACACGTGCTACATGGATGAACCTTGAAAACATTATGCTCCGTGAAAGAAGCCAGTCACTAAAGACCACATAGTGTATGGTTCTATTTATACGAAATGGCCAGAATAAGCAAATCTCTAGAGAAAAATTACATCTGTGGCTGCCTAGAGCTTGGAGCTGGGGCAAAGGGATGGAGGAAAACAGGCAACAACTGCCAACGGGAAAGGGGTTTCTTTATGGGGAGATGAAAACATACCAATATTGGATTGTGGTGATGGCTGCACCCATGAATATGCCGAAACACAATGAATTATACACTTTAAATGGGTGTACTGTATGGTAGTCAATCATATCACAAAATCAAGCTTTTTTTTTTTTTTTAAAGCACATAAGCCAGTGGTGGAGGGCAATAAGCACTGTCTTTGCTTCTAATGCCAGCTTTGAAAGTTGTGTACTCTTGGCCAAGGTTCTTAAGTACTCTGAGCTACAGTTTCCTTGCCTATAAATTGGGTAAAATAATTTTTATTTGCTATGATTTAAAGTTGAAATGAGGGCTTCCCTGGTGGCACAGTGGTTGAGTCCGCCTGCCGATGCAGGGTACACGGGTTCGTGCCCTGGTCCGGGAAGATCCCACATGCCGCGGAGCGGCTGGGCCCGTGAGCCATGGCCACTGAGCCTGCGCGTCCGGAGCCTGTGCTCTGTGACGGGAGAGGCCACAATAGTGAGAGGCCCGTGTACCACCACCTCCCCCCCCAAAAAAAAGTTGAAATGATATATATTTGAAAATGAACCCAATCAAGGGTGATTGTCATCAGCCCCAGCATCTCATCACGCATTGCGGGTAAGAATCAACTCCCTCCTGTAATTTACCCTCCCCCTTGTCAGCAGGGCCCACAGACAGCACATCCCTCCCTGCTGAGCAATATCCATCTTCACTGCTAGTGATGGAGCACTGGAGGGGGTCACAGGGGTCTCTGGACAGATGCCACCTCCTCAGGAGACTCTGGTATTTGCAAGTCCATTTGCCAGTTTTTGAAATGGAAAGAACACTGACATTTACAAAGTTAACTGGGGGATCTGATTGCTTTGTGGGAGGATGTATGCTAAAGGCTCTGCATGTCTTCTGAGCGCTAAGTAGAGTGATTGCTATTTACTGTTTCACATATGACTTGAAACCGAGCCTTATTTCCTCTTTCGCCAAATGCTAATTAACCTCTCAAATGTCATTTCATTGCCCCAACATTGCCATTTCCACCCTCTACCTCCCTCCCATCACGATTCCTAATTTTGCTTTATGCCCAGGGCACTGATTCCTACCTGGCTTTATATTATTTATGTACTTGTTCGTTTATTGTCTGCTTGTGAGCAGGGACCTTGGTCATCTTGTTCGAGGATATATATGTTCCTAGGTCCTAGAAAACTGCCTGACACGTAGTAGGTGCTTAGTAAATATTTGGTGAGTGAATCAATAGAGAATCACACCACTAAATTATTACACAATGGTAACAGTCTCACTAGGTACAAATCTTACACACATACACACACACAAATCAATTACAGGCACAAAAATGAATCAAGTACTCACCTCTGTGTAAGTCAGAATGAAGGTCATTCTTAATACAGACAGAACTGAGGGACCCCAGAGGGTCACAGTCACAGGGATGACAAGGGTTGTCATCATAAGGTGACACCTGAAAGGCAGAGGTTGCCCTAGATTATCTTGCTAGAAATAACAGCAATATTAGTATTAACATTGAGAATAATATCAATGACAAGGTACTGACTTTTTATCCAAGATGCGACTATCACAATGATTCTGTGTACCCAGGGGGTGTAGGTCAAGCCAGAAAAAAAGCGCAAACATCTTTTTGACAGTGACAGCAGCTGGCATCATTAGCAAAGTGTCATCCTTCTTCATTATCACTGCTACCCGTCCCCTCACTCTGCCATCTCTTGGAGACATGTAGAAGCCTCTCCTATGACTTAGCCACCATGGGATTCCCGTGACAGCTACATATGGTGTCAACTGAGGAGTGAGCACTTCCTACTGGCAAGATACAGCTGCTTTAGTTATTGGCTGACTCTCCACAGGGACACTTACTATCACACAACTCTGAGATGATGTAGCCAGTAGACCCACAGTTCAAGTTAAGTAACAATGGTGAACATCCTACCCTGAGCAAGAAAACAGGACGGATAGAGCAGGAAATTGATATCTGAAGAACACTACCAGCATACTGTAAGAATACAGATGAAATGTTGCAAAAGGAAATGTCTTCAATACTGAGACTGATGCGTGGCGGCCTGAATGTCTTTTCTACTGCAAAGCTGGGCGACAGTTGAGGCGCTCTTACCCTGTGTGGTCTGTAATATCCATCCACGCAGGTTTCACAGTTGATGCCCATGGTTTTCTGCAGGCAATCAATGCAAACCCCTCCTCCTCTGAATTGTCCGGCAGTATTCAGACTTCTCTTCTGATTCGCCACATTTTCATCATAGTAACAGTCTTTGGCTTTATTGTGGCAATTGCATTCTAGGAGAATATTTTAACATCTCAATTAATACAGATACCGTGTCCTAGATAAAGAAAAGCCTTCCCTCCTTTAGTAAATTTTGATGACTATAAATTAAATTAAAACTATAGAAGAAGTCATTTTAGTAACAATCTTTCAGAGGCATTGGGGAGTAGGTATCTGAATTATACGTGTGCATATCCACTTGATTCATCAACCTGTATTCTGGGATCATATCTTGCAGAAGCACTTGCTCACTTGTTAATGACAAAGGTGAATTACTGCACCATTGCTTGTGTTAACAAAGGACTTGTAACAAGCAAAATACCACGGGTAGGTAGCTGTTTTGATTATGTTACATCCATATAATGGAGTTCAGTGCAACTGCTTTTAAAACAGCATTTCATAGTGTTAATATGGAGATATTTTATTTAAGATATATTGTTAAATATAAAAGTAATGTATAGAATGGCACGCATAGCACATCAGGTTCTGTGTACGAACAGTGTGACGTGTTGGAACATCTTAACTTATGCTTTACTTGTATAAACATTTCAGGAAGAACTTACCAGGAAATAATAAAAAGTAGGAAGGATGGAGACAGAAATATATAAACACACTTTTATATACTGTAGATATTGGAACCTTGTGAATATATTGCCTATTTAAAATTTAAATCCAAATTTATAAAGAATAAATTAATATATGGGAAGCGGAATCTTAGAGAAATAGCAAATTGATAATCAATGCATTCGGGTCTCAATCCTTTAAATTTTATTAAGGTAGTCTGCCTCTTTGTGAACTACTTGAATAACTAAGAAAACCAGTTATTTACTACTTACAGATGTTAAGTCACCATAAACTGAAGGAATATGAAGGGAGAAAACTTCACATCCTTGCAATTCTCAGTGAACTTACCTTCACACGTGTTACCAGAAGAAACAGTGCCGGGCCTCCAGGGCTGCTGACGGTACCCAGGACAACACCGATTGCAGCTGTCACCACACGTGTTATGTTCACACTGACACTGGAATTTCTAGGCAGTAAGGAATATAAAATTGCATATGAAAATTTACGTGTATGTTTTTCTTAATTTTATTTAGGAAGAACCCATCATGGTCAAATACACAGCAAGAGTTTACAATCAAGCAAACTGGCATTTAATTTTTAGAGAAAAAAATAAACATATGACCTGGTTACAAACAGAAGTGAGAAGGAATAAACCAAAACTAACATATGGCTTAACAACAAAAAACTTTTCAAAAGAGACACATTGACCTGAAAGGTTTGGAAGCTTCTACTAGTAACTTTCTTGATACTCATCTCTGTTTTCTCAGCAATAATAAAAGTCCTAGGCTTCCCTGGTGGTGCAATGGTTAAGAATCCGCCTGCCAATGCAGGGGACACAGGTTCGATCCCTGGTCCAGGAAGATCTCACATGCCACGGAGGAACTAAGCCCGTGCACCACAACTACTGAGCTTGTGCTCTAGAGCCCGTGAGCCACAACTACTGAGACCGCAAGCCACAACAACTGAGCCCAGGTACCCCAACTACTGAAGCCCGCGCGCCGAGAGCCTGTGCTCCTCAACAAGAGAAGCCACCGCAATGAGAAGCCCACGCACCGCAGGAAGAGTAGCCCCTGCTTGCCGCAACTAGAGAAAGCCCGTGTGCAGCAACAAAGACCCAACGCAGCCAAAAATAAATAAACAAAAATTTAAAAAAATTAAAATCCGATTCAGGAGTTAAATTATTACGAAGATTGGGTAAAAGTAAGAAGTAGCTTCGTGTTAGCTTTTAAAAGAAGAAAAGAGGATGCCATCTTCTTCACTTAATACTATGTTAAAAGAGGGAAACTTTATTTTACCTTGATTTAGCACCACAAAAAGAGAAAGAGGGCGAAGTCAGAAGGAGGGGAATCCTTCTTTTAAAAAGTATAGGAGACGAGGGGAAGATGGCGGGGAGACGAGGGGAAGATGGCGGAAGAGTAAGACGCGGAGATCACCTTCCTCCCCAAAGATACACCAGGCATACATATACAGTGGAACAACTCCTACAGAACACCTACTGAACGCTGGCAGAAGACCTCAGACCTCCCAAAAGGCAAGAAACTCCCCACGTACCTAGGTAGGGCAAAGAAAAAACAGAGACAAAAGAATAGGGACGGGACCTGCACCACTGGAAGGGAGCTGTGAAGGAGGAAAAGTTTCCACACACTAGGAAGCCCCTTCGTGGGCGGAGACTGCGGAGGGCGGGGGAGCTTCGGTGCCGCGGAGGAGAGCACAGCCACAGGGGTGCACAGGACAAAGCGGAGACATTCCCACACAGAGGATCAGGGCCGACCAGCACTCACCAGCCCGAGGCTTGTCTGCTCACCTGCCAGGGCGGGCGGGGCTGCGAGCTGAGGCTTGGGCTTTGGTCGGAGCGCAGGGAGAGGACTGGGGTTGGCGGCGTGAACACAGCCTGCAGGGGGTTAGTGCACCACGGCTAGCCGGGAGGGAGTCCGGAAAAGCTCTGGAGCTGCCGAAGAGGCAAGAGACTTTTTCTTCCCTCTTTGTTTCCTCGTGCGCGAGGAGAGGGGATTAAGAACGCTGCTTAAAGGAGCGCCAGAGACGGGCACGAGCCGCGGCTAAAAGCGCGGACCCCAGAAACGGGCATGAGACGCTAAGGCTGCTGCTGCCGCCACCAAGAAGCCTGTATGCGAGCACAGGTCACTATCCACACCTGCTTTCCGGGGAGCCTGTACAGGCCCCCACTGCCAGGTTCCCGGGATCCTGGGACAACTTCCTCGGGAGAACGCACGGCGCCTCAGGCTGCTGCAACGTCACGCCGTCCTCTGACGCAACGTCACGCCGTCCTCTGACGCAACGTCACGCCGTCCTCTGCAGCAACGTCATGCCGTCCTCTGCCGCCGCAGGCCCGCCCCGCACTCCGCGCCCCTCCCTCCCCCCGACCTGAGTAAGCCAGAGCCCCCGAATCGGCGCCTCCTTTAACCCCGTCCTGTCTGAGCGGAAAAACAGACGCCCTCCAGCGACCTACATGCAGAGGCGGGGCCAAATCCAAAGCTAAGCCCCTGGGAGCTGTGCGAACAAAGAAGAGAAAGGGAAATCTCTCCCAGCAGCCTCAGAAGCAGCGGATTAAAGCTCCACAATCAACTTGATGTACCTGCATCTGTGGAATAAATGAATAGACAACACATCATCCCAAATTGAGGAGGTGGACTTTGAGAGCAAGATTTATGATTTTTTTCCCCTTTTCCTCTTTTTGTGAGTGTGTATGTGTATGCTTCTGTGTGAGATTTTGTCTGTATAGCTTTGCTTCCACCATTTGTCCTAGGGCTCTATCCGTCCCTTTTTTTTTTCTTAATAATTAATTTTAATAACTTTTATTTTACTTTATCTTCTTTCTTTCTTTCTTTCCTTCCTTCCTTCCCTCCTTTAGAAAACGAATCATCCCAAATTAAGGAGGTGGACTTTGAGAGCAAGATTTATGATCTTTTCCCCTTTTCCTCTTTTTGTGAGTGTGTATGTGTAGGCTTCTGTGTGATATTTTGTCTGTATAGCTTTGCTTCCACCATTTGTCCTAAGGTTCTATCCGTCCGTTTTTGTTTTTTTTTTAATTTTTTTCTTAATAATTATTTTTTAATTTAATAACTTTATTATATTTTACTTTATTTTATTTTACTTTATCTTCTTTCTTTCTTTCTTTTTTCCTTCCTTCCTTCCTCCCACTGTCCCTCCCTCCCTCCTTTCTTTCCTTCTTTCCTTCTTTTCTTCTTTCTTTCTTTTTCTTCCTTCCTTCCTTCCCTCCTTTCTTTCTTTCATTCTTTCTTTCTTTCTTCCTACTTCTACTAATTCGTTCTCTCTACTTTTTCTCTTTTATTCTGAGCCGTGTGGATGAAAGGCTCTTGGTGCTGCAGCCAGAAGTCAGTGCTGTGCCTCTGAGGTGGGAGAGCCAACTTCAGGACACTGGTCAGCAGGAGACCTCCCAGCTCCACATAATACCAAATGATGAAAATCTCCCAGAGATCTCCATCTCAACACCAGCACCCAGCTTCACTCAATGACCAGCAACCTACCGTGCTGGACACCCTATGCCAAACAACTAGCAAAACAGGAACACAACCCCACCCATTAGCAGAGAGGCTGCCTAAAATCATAATAACTCCACAGACACCCCAAAACACACCACCAGACGTGAACCTGCCCACCAGAAACACAAGATCCAGCCTCATCCACCAGAACACAGGCACTGGTCCCCTCCACCAGGAAGCCTACACAACCCACTGAACCAACCTTAGCCACTGGGGACAGACACCAAAAACAACGGGAACTACGAACCTGCAGCCTGCAAAAAGGAGACCCCAAACACAGTAACATAAGCAAAATGAGAAGACAGAAAAACACACCGCAGATGAAGGAGCAAGATAAAAACCCACCAGACCTAACAAATGAAGAGGAAATAGGCAGTCTACCTGAAAAAGAATTCAGAATAATGATAGTAAAGATGATCCAAAATCTTGGAAATAGAATAGACAAAATGCAAGAAACATTTAAAGGACCTAGAAGAACTAAAGATGAAACAAACAATGATGAACAACACAATAAATGAAGTGAAAAATACTCTAGATGGGATCAATAGCAGAATAACTGAGGCAGAAGAACGGATAAATGACCTGGAAGATAAAATAGTGGAAATAACTACTGCAGAACAGCATAAAGAAAAAAGAATGAAAAGAACTGAGGACAGTCTCAGAGACCTCTGGGACAACACCAAACGCACCAACATTCGAATTATAGGGGTTCCAGAAGAAGAGAAAAAGAAAGGACTGAGAAAATATTTGAAAAGATTAGAGTTGAAAACTTCCCTAATATGGGAAAGAAAATAGTTAATCAAGTCCAGGAAGCACAGAAAGTCCCATACAGGATAAATCCAAGGAGAAATATGCCAAGACACATATTAATCAAACTGTCAAAAATTAAATACAAAGAAAGCATATTAAAAGCAGCAAGGGAAAAACATCAAATAACACACAAGGGAATCCCCATAAGGTTAACAGCTGATCTTTCAGCAGAAACTCTGCAAGCCAAAAGGGAATGGCAGGACATATTTAAAGTGATGCAGGAGAAAAACCTGCAACCAAGATTACTCTACCCAGCAAGGATCTCATTCAGATTTGATGGAGAAATTAAAACCTTTACAGACAAGCAAAAGCTGAGAGAGTTCAGCACCACCAAACCAGCGTTACAACAAATGTTAAAGGAACTTCTCTAGGCAGGAAACACAAGAGAACGAAAAGACCTACAATAATGATCCCAAAGCAATTTAGAAAATGGGAATAGGAACATACATATCAATAATTACCTTAAATGTAAATGGACTAAATGCTCCCACCAAAAGACACAGATTGGCTGAATGGATACAAAAACAAGACCTATATATATGCTGTCTACAAGAGACCCACTTCAGACCTAGAGACACATACAGACTGAAAGTAAGGGGATGGAAAAAGACATTCCATGCAAATGGAAACCAAAAGAAAGCTGGAGTAGCAATTCTCATATCAGACAAAATAGACATTAAATAGACTCTATTACAAGAAACAAAGAAGGACACTACATAATGATCAAGGGATCAATCCAAGAAGAAGATATAACAATTGTAAATATTTATGCACCCAACATAGGAGCACCTCAATACATAAGGCAAATACTAACAGCCATAAAAGGGGAAATCGACAGTAACACATTCATAGTAGGGGACTTTAACACCCCACTTTCACCAATGGACAGATCATCCAAAGGGAAAATAAATAAGGAAACACAAGTTTTAAATGATACATTAAACAAGATGGACTTAATTGATATTTATAGGACACTCCATCCAAAAACAACAGAATACACACTTTTCTCAAGTGCTCATGGAACATTCTCCAGGATAGATCATATCTTGGGTCACAAATCAAGCCTTGGTAAATTTAAGAAAATTTAAATTGTATCAGGTATCTTTTCCGACCACAACGCCATGAGACTAGATATCAATTACAGGAAAAGATCTGTAAAAAATACAAACACATGGAGGCTAAACAATACACTACTTAATAACGAAGTGATCACTGAAGAAATCAAAGAGGAAATCAAAAAATACCTAGAAACAAATGACAATGAAGACACGACGACCCAAAACCTACGGGATGCAGCAAAAGCAGTTCTAAGAGGGAAGTTTATACCAATACAAGCCCACCTTAAGAAACAGGAAACATCTCGAACAAACAACCTAACCTTGCACCTAAACCAATTAGAGAAAGAACAAAAAACCCCAAAGTTAGGACAAGGAAAGAAATCATAAAAATCAGATCAGAAATAAATGAAGGAAACAATAGCAAAGATCAATAAAACTAAAAGCTGGTTCTTTGAGAAGATAAAATAGATAAACCATTAGCCAGACTAATCAAGAAAAAGAGGGAGAGGACTCAAATCAATAAAATTAGAAATGAAAAAGGAGAAGTTACAACAGACACCGCAGAAATACAAAGCATCCTAAGAGACTACTACAAGCAACACTATGCCAATAAAATGGACAGCCTGAAAGAAATGGACAGATGCTTATAAATGTATAAACTTCCAAGACTGAACCAGGAAGAAATAGAAAATATGAACAGACCAATCACAAGTAATGAAATTGAAACTGTGATTTAAAATCTTCCAACAAACAAAAGCCCAGGCCAGATGGCTTCACAGGCGAATTCTATCAAACATTTAGAGAAGAGCTAACACCTATCCTTCTCAAACTCTTCCAAAATATAGCAGAGGGAGGAACACTCCCAAATTCATTCTACGAGGCCACCATCACCTTGATACCAAAACCAGACAAGGATGTCACAAAGAAAGAAAACTACAGGCCAATATCACTGATGAACATAGATGCAAAAATCCTCAATAAAATACTAGCAAATTGAATCCAACAGCACATTAAAAGGATCATACACCATGATCAAGTGGGGTTTATTCCAGGAATGCAAGGATTCTTCAATATAGGCAAATCAATCAATGTGATAAACCATATTAACAAATTGAAGGAGAAAAACCATATGATCATCTCAGTAGATGCAGAGAAAGCTTTTGACAAAATTCAACACCCATTTATTATAAAAACCCTGCAGAAAGTAGACATAGAGGGAACTTTCCTCAACATAATAAAGGCCATATATGACAAACCCACAGCCAACATCATCCTCAATGGTGAAAAACTGAAAGCATTTCCACCAAGATCAGGAACAAGACAAGGTTGCCCATTGTCACCACTCTTATTCAACATAGTTTTGGAAGTTTTAGCCACAGCAATCAGAGAAGAAAAGGAAATAAAAGGAATCCAAATCGGAAAAGAAGAAGTAAAGCTGTCACTGTTTGCAGATGACATGATACTATACATAGAGAATCCTAAAGATGCTACCAGAAAACTACTAGAGCTAATCAATGAATTTGGTAAAGTTGAAGGATACAAAATTAATGCACAGAAATCTCTTGCATTCCTATACACTAATGATGAAAAATCTGAAAGTGAAATCAAGAAAACACTCCCATTTACCACTGCAACAAAAAGAATAAAATATCTAGGAATAAACCTACCTAAGGAGACAAAAGACCTGTATGCAGAAAATTATAAGACACTGATGAAAGAAATTAAAGATGATACAAATAGATGGAGAGATATACCATGTTCTCGGATTGGAAGAATCAACATTGTGAAAATGACTCTACTACCCAAAGCAATCTATAGATTCAATGCAATCCCTATCAAACTACCAATGGCATTTTTCACAGAACTAGAACAAAAAAATTCACAATTTGTATGGAAACACAAAAGACCCTGACTAGCCAAAGCAATCTTGAGAAAGAAAAACAGAGCTGGAGGAATCAGGCTCCCTGACTTCAGACTATACTACAAAGCTACAGTAATCAAGACAGTATGGTAAAAAAAAAAAAAAAAAGACAGTATGGTACTGGCACAAAAACAGAAAGATAGATCAATGGAACAGGATAGAAGGCCCAGAGATAAACCCACGGACATATGGTCATCTTATCTTTGATAAAGGAGGCAGGAATATACAGTGGAGAAAGGACAGCCTCTTCAATAAGTGGCGCTGTGAAAACTGGACAGGTACATGTAAAAGTATGAGATTAGATCACTCCCTAACACCATACACAAAAATAAGCTCAAAATGGATTAAAGACCTAAATGTAAGGCCAGACACTATCAAACTCTTAGAGGAAAACATAGGCAGAACACGCTATGACATAAATCACAGCAAGATCCTTTTTGACCCACCTCCTAGGGAAATGGGAAAAAAAACAAAAAAACAAATGGGACCTAATGAAACTTCAAAGCTTTTGCACAGCAAAGGAAACCATAAACAAGACCAAAAGACAACCCTCAGAATGGGAGAAAATATTTGCAAATGAAGCAACTGACAAAGGATTAATTTCCAAAATTTACAAGCAGCTCAATAACAAAAAAACAACCCAATCCAAAAATGGGCAGAAGACCTAAATAGACATTTCTCCAAAGAAGATATACAGACTGCCAACAAACACATGAAACAATGCTCAACATCATTAATCATTAGAGAAATGCAAATCAAAACTACAATGAGGTATCATCTCACACCAGTCAGAATGGCCATCATCAAAAAATCTAGAAACAATAAGTGCTGGAGAGGGTGTGGAGAAAAGGGAACACTCTTGCACTGTTGGTGCAAATGTAAATTGGTACAGCCACTATGGAGAACAGTATGGAGGTTCCTTAAAAAAGTACAAATAGAACTACCATATGACCCAGCAATCCCACTACTGGGCATATACCCTGAGAAAACCATAATTCAAAAGGAGTCATGTAGCAAAATGTTCACTGCAGCTCTATTTACAATAGCCCAGAGATGGAAACAACCTAAGTGCCCATCATCGGATGAATGGATAAAGAAGATGTGGCACATATATACAATGGAATATTACTCAGCCATAAAAAGAAACGAAATTGAGCTATTTGTAATGAGGTGGATAGACCTAGAGTCTGTCATACAGAGTGAAGTAAGTCAGAAAGAGCAAGACAAATACCGTATGCTAACACATATATATGGAATTTAAGAAAAAAATAATGTCATGAAGAACCTAGGGGTAAGACAGGAATAAAGACACAGACCTACTGGAGAACGGACTTGAGGATATGGGGAGGGGGAAGGGTGAGCTGTGACAAAGCGAGAGAGAGGCATGGACATATATACACTACCAAACGTAAGGTAGATAGCTAGTGGGAAGCAGCCGCATAGCACAGGGAGATCAGCTCAGTGCTTTGTGACCGCCTGGAGGGGTGGGATAGGGAGGGTGGGAGGGAGGGAGATGCAAGAGGGAAGAGATATGGGAACATATGTATATGTATAACTTATTCACTTTGTTATAAAGCAGAAACTAACACACCATTGTAAAGCAATTATACCCCAATAAAGATGTTAAGAAAAAAAAAGTATAAACATGATTTCTAACTGCACGTGATTTTCACTTGACTATCTTATAGAGAAGAGCTTCAAAATTCAAAAGGTCACTGAATTGCACACTTAAAAACGATTAAAATGGTAAATTTTACGTTACCTTTTTTTTAACCCCCCTCCAAAAAAAAAATTTATGGAAAGAATTTAATTAGAAACATATTCTCCTACCAACACAAAATTAAATTGTTTAAAAAAATTAAACCAGTTAAATTATCTGAAAATCTTTTTTTGTGGCTTGATTTTATAACTTTCAACACATGCCTTGAATAAAAAAGTGCAATGCAAATATTATAGCTACAAGTGCTATTTTGAATTTTTAGTAAAATGTGAAATACTATAACTCACCTTTGGGCTTCCCTGGTGGCGCAGTGGTTAAGAACCCACCTGCCAATGCAGGGGACACGAGTTTGAACCCTGGTCCGGGAAGATTCCACATGCTGTGGAGCAACTAAGCCCGTGCGCCACAGCTACTGAGCCTGTGCTCTAGGGCCCGTGTGCCAAAACTACTGAGCCCACGTGCCACAGCTACTGAAGCCCGTGGGCCTAGAGCCCGTGCTCCACAACGAGAAGCCACCACAATGAGAAGCCCACGCACCGCAATGAAGAGTAGCTCCCACTCACCGCAACTAGAGAAAGCCTGCGCACAGCAACGAAGACCCAACACAGCCTAAATAAATAAATAAAATTTATTACTATAACTCACCTTTATAGTTTCATCCCATGGGCAGCTACTAGCATGGCCATAACAAATACACATTCCTCCAACAGAAATGTCTTTTATTGAATAGTAATACTAAGGAAAAAGAAAGTAACAAGCAAAAATTAAAACCTCTTCTATTTCAATGAGAAGAAAATGTTGGCACTCCAACAAATATCTCGGTTGTTATTGGTAATCAAAAACACAGATATGCATTTTAAACTATATTTCATGCACAAGTAAATATAAATAAAATATTTATGTTCAATTAATGTAAACAATGTTCAGGGCTTCCCTGGTGGCACAGTGGTTGAGAGTCCGCCTGCTGATGCAGGGGACACGGGTTTGAGCCCTGGTCTGGGAAGATCCCACGTGCCGCGGAGCAACTGGGCCCATGAGCCACAATTACTAAGCCTGCGCGTCTAGAGCCTGTGCTCCGCAACAAGAGAGGCCAGAACAGTGAGAGGCCCACGCACCGTGATGAAGAGTGGCCCCTGCTTGCCACAACTAGAGAAAGCCCTCGCACAGAAACGAAGACCCAACACAGCCATAAATAAATTAATTAATTAAAAAAAAACAACAACAATGTTCAAAATAGTTCATCAACAGAAACCAAAGAAGTTTAAAAAGAATTTCTCAACTTGGCTGCATCTTAAACCAAGGCAGTCATATTCAAAGGCCATGTTACTGAAAACCCTAAAAATATTCCTAAATTGAATACAGCCCTATATAAAAAGGAATAACTCATGACCAATTAGGATTTATCCCATGGGTGCAGAGTTAATTTAACACACAAAAAATCAATAAATGTGAATCACCACATTAACAGAATAAAGGAGAAAAATCATATGATCATTTCATTAGATGCACAAAAAGCATTTTACAGAAGGCAACACCATCAATTAAAAAACAACTCAGCAAACCAGAAGTAGAAGAGAACTTCTTCAGTCTAATGAAGGCGTGTCTATGGAAAACCTAGAGCTAACAGTGAAAGATTAAGTGCTTTCCTCTTGAAATCTGCTCTTACCATTTCTATTCAACATTCTACGGGAGGTGCCAGCCAGTTCAATAATGCAAGAAAAAAGAAGTCAAAAGCAAACAGAGTGCACAGTAAGACTAAACTGTCATTATCTGTAGATGACATGATTGTACATAGAAAATCTATCAAAAACTACTAGAATATGTGAATTTGGCAATGTCTCAATCAACAAAAATGAATTGTACTTCTATATACTAGCAATGAACAAATGGAAAATAAATGTTAGAAAGCAAATTATTAACACTAATATTAAAAAACATGAAATACTTAAAAATAAACTGAACAAAAGATTGACAAACAAGTAATAGATCATTGCCAAGAGGAACTTAAGAAGACAGAGATAAGTGGGGAGGTATAGCACATTCATGGACTAGATGATCCAATATTGTCAAAATGTCTTCCAAAATTCCTCCTAAATTGATCTACGGAATCAATGGAATCCCAATGAAAGTCTTAGCAGGATTTCTTTCTTCCCTTCTTTCTTTATTTCTTTCCTACTTTCTTTCCTTCTTTCTTTTCTTCTTTCTTTCTTTCTTTCTTTTTGGTATTAATTGACAAACTGATTCTAAAATTTATAAGGAAACACAATGAACTTGGAACAGCCTAACCAATCTTGAAAAAGGACTATTATGGTACCTGACTTCAAGATTTACTGCAGTAATCAAGAAAGACTGTTATTGGCATAAGGATAGACAAACAGATCATTGGGACAGTATAGAGTCCAGAAACGCACCCACAATAATACGGTCAAGTAATTTTCAACAGGGCACCAAAACAATTTAAAGGGAGAAAGGAAAGTATTTTCAACACATGGTGCTGGAACAATTGTATATACACATGGGGAAAAAACAGCCTTCGCCTCTACCTCACACCAAATACAAAAATTAACAAGAAAAGGATAATAGATGTGAAAGCTGAAACTATAAAGTTATTACAAGAAAGCATTGGGAAATATTTTTGTAAACTTGCGATAAGCAAATATTTTTCAGAAAGGAATAGAAAGCACTAACTATAAAAGAAAAACGATAAACTGGACTTTATCGAAATTAAACCATCTACTCCTCAGAAGTCATAGTTAGGAAAAGCAGATAAGCAAGAGACAAACCAGGGCAGAGAGAAGGGATTTGCAGTATAGACACATCTGACAAAGGATTTCTACATAGCATATATAGAGATCTTTTATAACTCAGGAATAAGGAGATGGATAACCCAATTTAAAAATGGATAGAAATGTCATCAGATACAAATAAGGACACGCTCAACATCAGTCATCAGGGAAATACAAATTAATACCCCGAGGAGATGCCACCGCATGCACATCAGCACGGCTGAGGTGACAGTGACCGACGCCCCAATGTGTGAGAGTGTGCGGTATACCCAGAGCCCTCACACACTGCTGGTCTGTAAAACAACACAGCTGCTTCTGACAAGGCTTAGAAAATTCCTAAAAATTAAACACATAGCTATCCTGTAACTAAGTAATCCCACTCCTACTTTATCCAAGGGATTTGGAAATGTTTGTCGCCACAAGCCTTATACGTTTACTATACACTGAAAATATGTACGTTTTCCTGGATGTAGCTTATATCTCAAACTTTAAAATTTTCTTCTAAGTGGGAAAAAACCCCAGCCATTCTCACTTGCTTGATCAGATGTAGAGCCAGATTAGAACGTGAAGAAATGACCACTACATCTGCTGCATGATGGCGTTATGGGATGGGTGGGGACGGGGGACCTGAGGGCACCACGTCAGAACCATAACCTCGTTTAAAGGTGGCATTTTTAACAAAGCATAACTAACGATCTTCAACAAAAATAAGAAAAAAAGGCCAACCTGGGAGGAAAAGTCTATTTCCCTGAAACAACATAAACTTTTCAGCGGTCAGGAGCCCTGCCACACTCACTCGTCTTGTGACAATAGGGTCGAGGTCTTTAGGGTCCCGGTGGCTGAGGGTCATAAGATCGGCATTGAGGGTTCGAATGCGCTGTAAGCGCAGGCGGATGTATCGTGCAGAAGTAAATTCCAACAACTTGGGTGAAAGATCATCAGAGCTTGGTCTGCCATTGATTAGCGATGTATGAATCTAGAGATAAAGACATCAAAATAAACAAATATCAATTTTAAGCATGCAAAAAATAGCCCTGATTGTTTACATTCAGGACATAATCTTTACAGATACTATCTAAAATCAAACCAAACAATGGGGTTCTTATAGAAATCTGTCTAATATTCATTGACACTTGTGAACAGCATGATCACAGCCCAAGTTCAGTTTATTGAAGTTATTCGTTCCAGTGTCTCAGAGATTGCGGGAAACTTTTAAACAGGACCACTTCTCCCAGCGAGGTGAGGGCATTTTAACGTGTATCCACAGGCTTCTCTGAAACAGATTCTAAATGTCATGAATAGACTGGGGAGAGTGGGGGAAAGCACCAGAAAGCTTTGTAACTCCCATTTTCTCATCTCTGCTCTTGAAACAATGCAGGGCTTGCTGCAGAGTTCCTGCTGTGAAAAGCACTTGCAGGATTTTTGTAGTTTTAGCTCATCAAGGCATGCTACCAAGGCATGGCTTGTTTTTGATTACACTCTGACTTAAGGATGTGTGTGCAGTCCGGGCATGGAGAGCACGGAGCTGGAATATTTCATGAACCATCTCCAACCCTCAACACCTCCAGGGACAGGTAGAACTTCCCAGAGAAAACTGAGAGCTCTATATTTTAGAAGCATTTTCGCTCTCTTTAATATTTTAACAAATCTTGTTGCCTTGGCGTCATGAGAAAGATGCTCTGAGAATGATCTGATGGAGTTATTAGATCACAGCACAGTGAAGGTTGAGGGATCTCCCTGAAGGGAAGAAATCAATAAAGTAAAATGTGTCAGTGGTGACGTTAATCATCAGTAGACACCAGTCAATGGCACCTTAACTACAGCAGCTGGACAGTTAAAGATCTCTGTGATCTGTACCAGGAGAGCTCTATTTTGAGTGTTTCCTGTTGGCTCTGTGATGGCTAGGTTGTCACTGGAGGTGACACTGATGAAAAAACAGACCTCCTGGCCAGCAGGGGGCGCCATACCTCTCCGTGCTCAAGTGGCACCAGCCTGGAGTAATAGGAGGTGCAGATCACTTCGTCATCTGCCCTGTAAGTGGGCGGCCCCCGTCTTGGAGTGATATTGTAATGAGTCAAACATTCCGTGTCACTAACTGCATAGTACTGCCAGGGGCTGAACTCCATGCCATCCAGAGAATGCTCCAAAATCCAGTTTCCAGGCCGAGGGGCATTAGCAGCTTTGATGATGACATAAGCGACTTGAAAGACCTGGAACAAAGACATTGAAAACTGTCAATCGAAAATCAGTAACAAGTGCTCAAAAACCAAAGTGCCTCTTGAGAGCGTTGCCACCCAATGATGGCCAGTGTCTCTCACTGCTCTTGAGGCTAACTGCTCATAAGTGTTAATCAGAAATGTATCTTGTAAATGTTTTCCTGGTGGCATTTGTCTTCAAAATAAACTCAAAAAATACTCACAAATAAATTTGTATTATTATTGTTGTTATTAACACTGTTAATATTGACATAAGTGCTTGTTTTCTTGTTTCCAATGTCTTTCTCATCAGGATTCTGAATGATAATAGTTGTATTATGTTTCATTAGTAGTCGTGTTAAATGTATTTCTCATATAGTGATTTGGAGATAACACATCGGAATATGAGAAAAAAAGTCAGCCCGTTACACACTTATCACGATGGTTAAAATCCACAACACTGACAACACCAGATGTTGGTGAAGATGTGGAGCAACAGGAACTCTCAATCGTTGCTGGTGGGAATGCAAAATGGTACAGCCACTTGGGAAGACAGTTTGGCTTTCTCTTAAAAATTAAACACAGTCTTACCATACAATCCAGCAATCATACTCCTTGGTATTTACCCAAAGGAGTTGAAAATTTCCATAGGTGAATGGATAAAGGAAGTGTGACACAACCATACAACAGAATATTATTCAGCGATTTAAAAAATGAACTCTTAATCCACAAAAAGACATAGAGTAAACTTAAATGCATATTGCTAAGTGAAAGAAGCCAATCTGAAAAGGCTATATACAGGATGATTCCAACTATATTGCCTCGAGGCTTGTTGTTTTTTATTTTTGGTTTTAAGCTTCTCCCCATCTTAGCCGTCACCAATTCTAGCAACACAAGAGCCCCTTAAAATTAACCCAGCTGAAGCCACAATATTTCACATTTATCTACTGAATTATTCCCTGCAAAGGATGGTTTTACCTCATTATAATAACTCTGTTCACCTACAAGAAATGTCTCCCAATAAAATTTAGTCTATAAATGGTGTAAGTGTGAAATGTTGAGTACCCATGTTCATGTGCAATTTTCCTCTAGAACACAATCACTGTTTCTAAAGCACATTTAAAGCAAAATAATGTTCTCAGATTTTAATAGGAAAATCAGGAACTGTGTATCTGTTATGAAAGTTTATATCTGGAGCTGAATGTCCAATGTTTAAAAATCTAGAACCGTCTTCATCGATTTAAACCACTTTTTTTTTTTTTTTTTGCGGTACGCGGCCTCTCACTGTTGTGGCCTCTCCCGTTGCGGAGCACAGGCTCCGGACGCGCAGGCTCAGCGGCCATGGCTCACGGGCCCAGCCGCTCCGCGGCATGTGGGATCTTCCAGGGCCGGGGCACGAACCCGTGTCCCCTGCATTGGCAGGCGGACTCTCAACCACTGCGCCACCAGGGAAGCCCTAAACCACTTTTTAAAAAATTAAAATAATGCAAAGGCCATTTTGTCCTAGCATAAATATCTCCAGAACATTCTCCTATGAACATAATTACATTTTTTTCTTATTGTGAGTTTATTTAAAAAAAAAACCTTTTTTCCCAATTTTGTAATTCATATATTCCATAATTTATATTTTTAAAGTCTACTATTTTTTAATATTACTGGAAAACCAAACACTTCTCAGAAATACCTGGCAATTAATCTTACTGTCTCCTCTAGAGCTAGTCCTGAAGAACATCAGAGTTTTTTTTAATGCAGCTTGGGGGAGGTTAGTTTCACCTTTGCAAAGTTCCAGGACTGTCCCAGAACACCATGATGGAAAACGGCCTAAGCAGCTTTCCGTTTGGTTTTCATACTGATGCCCAAGCTAACTGGAGGGAGGACACCCTCTTCTTTACTCATCACTGTCCAATTGCCTTGCAAGTATTTTCACCATAAAAGGAGACGTCTATGAGCATGTGGACCACTGTGGAATATGTTAAAATAGACTTCACAAATTGCAGGTGCCAAGTGAGATGGCATGATCAGGCAGCCCATTTGAGAGGGACGGAAATCAAGGTCATTTACAAATGGACTGACTGCATTTACCTTCTGTTTTCCAATTTCACATTTGAAAATGGACAGAACCAACAGGTTCACCTCCTGTGTGCTAAGAACTTCATGTATATCATCCCATTTAACTCCAAACAACCCCATGAGTTTCAAGTCATTGTGGTTCCCATTTTACATATTTGGAAACTGATGCTTAGAGAGGTTAAAAGACAAACTACTGAGAGTTGCAGGTCCCAATGAGAAACCAGGGGTCTCACTCCAGAGTCCTTAGCATCCACTAGACAACCCCCAAATGTCCACACACACTAAGGTCATTGAATTTTCTTTTTGTAACCCCAGAAAAAGACTCCTACATTCACTTGGGCGCTGGGTTCATGTCTAAACAGGCACCGTGGCAATTGTTTCTGTTAACTCTGCAGTTTCTGTTGTGACGGCCCAGGATGTGTGGGGGGGAGGGGATGGAGAGTGTGCAAGGAACAAAAACTAATGCTACGTAGCGTCCGCTGTGGCCAAGGACAATGCTAAGTCCTTTATTAGAATTACTAGTCTTCAGACCCTTCCAACTACGTTCTTCTTATGAAATATGTACTGTCACTTCCCCTACTTTACAGATGAGGAAACCGAGGCACAGAAAGGTTACATAATCTTCCCAGGATCTCACATGTACTAATATGTAAACCACACTTCTACAGATTGCAAGGAAAAAGAATGAAACTCCCAGCTGAGCAGCTGGTGGGTACCAATCTGGTTTTCCAAACCACTGACCTCAACCAGTAGCAATTATTTCAATACCATGTTCTTGTACTTTCATCAAACCCTTGTCAGCTTTTAGACGGACAGCTTAGTCACATGTAACAAAACGTAACCCAGTGGAAGAACAACCATAATGGGAAAACTTCAGGACCATCCCTCCAAGGATCAAGGCCTTCAGCTATGAAGCTGGGCGTTGTTCTCACAGTGTCTCACTAGTTCTCTAGGTCCCCAAATTGGAGACTAGGAAACAAGCCAAGAAAGGGACTATGAAATATAAATCTGCAAAAGAGGAAGAGGAAGCTATGAAATATCTAAACACTATTTGTTTTCACTTAAGTCACGTTATTGGCTGACTTATGTCTCCCCAAAATTCACAGGCTGAAGTCCTAACCCTTAGTACCTCAGAATGTGACTGTATCTGGAGAGAGGGTCTTTAAAGAGATAATCAAGGTCAAATGAGGTCAAATGGGTGAGCCCTAATCTCATCTGACTGGTGTCCTTTTAAGAAGAGAAGATTAGGACCCAGACGTAGGGGCAACCCTGTGAGGATACAGTGAGAAAATGGCCATCTGCAAGCCAACGGGCAAGGTCTCAGAAGGAATCAACCCTGCCAACACCTTGCTCTTGGACTTCCAGCTTCCAGAACTGTTTGCTAATAAATTTCTGTTGTTTAAGCCCCCAGGTTTCGGTATGTGCTACGGCGGCCCTAAGCAAATGAACACAAGCTAGTCTAATTCACCAATTGTGTGTTGACAGACCAGTCTTAACACCCCCTATAGAAAAAGTAAGGAATTCTCTGTTAATATATAGAATTTTAAACCTTTGCCCAAATGAAATCCGTGATATTTCCGTTGCTGCTTTTTAGCATGGTTGACTAAAGTGCCTTTTCTCTCCATATAAGGTTGGCTGAACACAAAGTGATGATGCAGGGCTTTCACTAAATGCAGAGTCACTGAGGTCTTGCCAAACCTGCAGCTGATACAGCCACTTTCAAATCCACTTTCATCAGGGTTTTCTACCAAGAGGCCTTTGTTAATGATCACTGGAATGCACATAAACAGTGCCACATAAATAAAGCACACATACACCAAACACCGCTTTCTACACAGGAATCCAGACAGGAATTTTCATGTGGGCCTCAACCTTAAATATATTAAAACCCCCTCAGGCACAGAGATAAGAAAAATACACAGAGCGTAATTCTCCAATATCAGGGGCCAGCTTCAGACGTGCTCAGGGAAGCAAAGTGTTTCTTCTCCACAGAAAGCTCAGCTGCATAAGCTGCAGGGGCCCAGATACCACACGGGACCCCTGGCTGGAAATTCTCCACACAAGCACTTACCTGCTTCCAAGGCCATAATGAAACAGTGAATGGAGAATTGTTTTCTCTTACCCGATGGGAAAAACCTTTTCACAGGCAAAAGAGGTTTAGTTTTAACAGTCAAATTAAACTTTTAAAAAAGAGTTCAGTCTATTTGGTAAGTAACATTGCTCAGTTATCCCTATAAAAGTGGTGAATCTGTGCTCTGTCAGCGTTATCTCTTAGGACGTTATTAGACAATAAGATTCAAAATGATCGTTTGAGCTAACGTTTATTACTCAAGAATAAAGAAATAACTATTTACTAGAAGTCTAATTACTAAATGCAGCTATGACTCCCTTCTGGTTTTACAGAGTATGGATCACGGAATTAACTAATCAATTGATAATCGTGTGAAGTAGCAACAAACACTTGGCAGAACAAGAGAAGTTTGGGGCTTGGACGTTCACTTGGCACGTAGGATCTGTGGGATACACATTTTAGGTAAATCTCTTACGGGCAATGATCTTGAAATGTCATTTCTATTTGATTTTAGTGGCTGTTTTACTATTATTGCCTCGGTTTAGGACCAGTATACAAAATTAACAGACAAAAGGAAATAGCTTCATGAGTGAGAAGAGAAGTGTGGAATAAAATAGGTTTGTTTCTCTTTAAATTTGCTGCTGTCAATAGAAGTGCGGGATAAACACGTCAGAATCCAGTCTCTTTCCCCCCCTTTCTTTTCTTCTTGCTTTTTCCTTTTATTGAGGGCAGGAGGGACTGGCTACTTGTAATGGCAAATTTAGATCAAGTAGGTTTTTTTCCTTAAAATTCTTAAGCTTCGTGTCTCAGGAAATCAAGGAAGGCTCACTTCGGAAGCAAGCTCAGATTCTTCAGGTGGACCCTGAGGAAAAGC